CCGGGGTACGAATTTTTCATGAGCGTACCCCCCAGGGGAATGTCTTTTCCCCAATTTCGAGCCCGGTTGTTTTTTGCTTCGCAAAGCACGGCCTGCATGATGAGTTCCGAAAATAACGTTCTTTCACCCCTGGCCCGCTTGAACTCCTGCTCATAGACCTTACCCATCGAGGGTTCACCATTCGTGGTTGTTCATGTGTGGAGCACCGAATTTTTTTTCCCACCCCCCGGGTTGACTTTCCCACCCTGTATTTCAACCTCCCCCAGAGGTAACAGCGTGCAAAAAAAAAACTCTTAAACCCACCCCAGTATTTTGATTGCCCCCCTGGGGGGTGTGACTTCAAAATATATATTGACCCCCCCGGGGGGAGAACTCCAGCGTTTAGGGTATTTGCCGAGGGCGGGGGGGTTATGTTGGGCGCGTGCGTTAACTCGTGCTGCGTGCCCCTCTCTGGCACAGGACCAGGTGAGGTGGAACACCAAGGAAGGGAAAGAGAGAGGGTTCAGGTACCACCCGCAAACTCTCAGAATCGCCCTCTACCTGCACGGCATGGCTGGAACGGCGGCCTACAACCTCGTTCGACAGTACGTCCATCTCCCGAGCCCGACATTCCGATAAAAGATTTTTCTCTGATGCATGAGCCTATTTGTTTGGTCAAACCCAAACAATATGTGCCTGAAACTGGTTCACTTTTTGCATCTGTTGGTCGCGGTCTCCACCGCCACCGCCGCCACCGCCGCCGGCAAAGGCCATGCGTCCACCCCCGACTTTGCGATACCAAATATAACGCCAGTGTGTATCATAACCATCGCACCGTGTCAACGCCAGGACGGATACCCTGCAGTTTCATCCATTCAACCTCAAACCCCTTGCAAGATCGACGAGCGCCGCGGACGTGTTCGATCTCAGAATTCAGAACATGGAAAACGTAGGTCGTAACCCATCCCATCCATCCATGCACAGAAAACACTGTGCTCGCCGATACGTAGGTAGATGTTCCCCCTGACGAGTGTACCAGACATACATACCAATACCCACGCTGCACAATCACCTTTCCCTACGTCCGTCGTAGGCCGCCTGCCGCACACAATCGAAAACAAAAGCAAGCAGCACGACCAAAAAAAAGAAAGAACGTATTCACACCCCAACGGAAAACGACGTGTGAGCGTACAGCAGCTGTGGAGCGAGCGCGTGCGTGCGCGGGGCACGAATTGGGGAGAGCATTGAAGCTGTTCCAAGGAGAGGTAATCGGGCTGCTGCGCGGAGGACCATATGCACTTTAAATTCAAGTGAAACGGTGGCCTGTGAGAGCTCGAAACATCACAAGGCTGGCCCTACGAGCAGTTCATAAGGCAGCGGAAATCTGGCGCTCGAAAGGTATTGGGCTCTTGCGCGTGGGGGCAAGAGAGTCGTTGAAGAGGTTACGCGAGGGCATGGATGTCGCTGCTGTAGCTGGAGGAGTTGAGTGCTGCTGAAAGATGAGTGTGCTGCGCAGAGAGCGAGTGTGTGGAGTTTGGGCTGTGGAGCGCGTGGCACGAGCAGAGCAAGGAGCGAACTGCGGAGAATCGGAGAAATATACGTAAGATAATCGGGACAAACGGGAATTCCGGAAAAAGTGTAGTCAAAACCCATGTGATGATATGGATAGGAGAAAAGCGGCCTGTGACAGCCGAACATTCGGAGTGCTGGCCTGTCAGCAGCCGACGGAAATCCGGTGCTTGAACAGTGAAACGTTCCAAAAGACCCGTGATTAAACGAACGTTGCAGAGAGAGAACAACATCCGAGAAAGGGTACTCGTGTAAATAAACGCATGCCGTCGTTGGACCATTGACCTCGCATCCCCACAATGCCGGGACGGAGCGACATGCCGGGTTTTCGCTGGCCCAGGCTGCGTTCCACAACGATGAACCAGAAGCTAGATGTAGTCATCGTCCTTGCATTTGCTGTGTCACATCAGAAATGCCATGCGTGGCTATCAGAACTTCGATCTGGAGCTCAAACAAATCAGGCGCGCCACACACAGCAAACACTTTTTTTCGCGTGTGAAACCGTTGGAGAAATGTGACACTCCAGGTGGAAAATTCAGACGGAGTACTGTTAAATTTGTTTTTCGTTCGTCATGATTGTTGCTCATGGCGTTCCAACCATCCTGTGTTCACAGATACCCCATCGGGTGTGAACTTACAGGATACACCGTACTACACAAGTGCGGAGGGCAGGAAAGGGTAGGTTTGGCAAGAACAGCGGGGCGGGTCAGCGACGGGTAATCCATGCCAAGTATGTACATGGGTGGGCGGGGAGAAATATGGGTTATTTCGACCGGCTGGATTCATCCCGCCACCCACTAGACTTCACTGGATTCTTATTAGTGTCTGCTGCTTCAACTACAGCAATGACTGCATCTGTGTTCAGCTGCTGGGTAGCGCATCATTGAAGGGCAGCAGCAAGGTTCCGGGGGTCTGGTTAAGGTTTGCGGCGCATATTGCATTCGACTGCTGTTGTCAGGGAGAAGGTGGGGCGAGGACGATGAACTGCCATCTGTCTCCAGCTCTACATAGACCCCGGCTGCAATTCTACGTGGGCACATCAATAAATAGTCTAATGCACACGGTAGGATACATACAACATGAACTAGTCTACAGCAGTAGTCCACTGTTATCTGCAGTCCTTGGATTCCCCCGCCAACAACTGGCACAGCAGCACAGTACAGAAAGCAGGGCCACGCTTACCATGTAATACGTCGCGTGTAGGGGTTTTTGTCACTGCTGTAGATCGTGAAGGCTGGATTGGTATCGCTACCACCGGCGGACATCTTGGTAGCAGCAGCAGCAGCAGCAGCAGCAGC